TTGTACCAGGCAACACCCTTAATCACATGCATATCTAACAAACCGATGGAGAAGACAAAGAACGGAGCCCGATATTTCCGTAACCCACCACAGCCTCACATGTGTATCCAAGATTTTATTCAGGTATAATTCTGTTACAAATGCCTTTTATTTATAATTGTTGTTATTGCAAGAGCATTGCACCGTTGTCTTAGTTGACCATCAAATATCAAGTCGACCTAATGCCATGTTTACCAAATTTTAGTTCCTGGAAAGGAAAATAACTAAAAACTTTTATGGTCAGATCTCGGTATGTTGGCTGATATGTCTCTGATATTGTGGTGTGACTAGCGGCTGGTCAGGTTAAAACATTTTCCACGCCCCTTTTACGACAGATGTCTAAGAGAATCACAGAAGTAGATTGTGATGTAATTATTCTATATTCTAAACTGCAAGTTCAAGGTCACTGTCAAACATAGTGCCAATTTAAATACGACTAATATTCTGTGTTCTGTTTAATTGCACAGCAGATGCATGGGATGTACGAAGTTTGGCAAACAATGTTTTTTGTTTTTGTTTTTTTACTCAAGAGAAACACAGAGCTGAGAAGCATATATTCATGGTTTAAATACAGAATGTCTCAAAAAGATGTATACGCATTATAATACTTTGGTGGCCACTCACCAGTCAGCTGCTTGCCACTAATCTAACGGCGGTCATTTTGAACAGCTACATTTGATTTGCTGATTCCCTAAGTACCAATGCTGATGTATGTCATGATTTAGGTTATTAAAATTTCTTTATTTCATTCAGTGAATGTGTGTATACATATTTTTGGGACATTCTGTACACACCAGCTGTGGCTATAGATTTCACCTTCATCTCATATTTTCATTTGTTCATAGGGTTCTAAGCAGCCATGCTACATCAATGTATTATCTTGGGTTAAGATCTCAACTCCTCGGAGGCCAGAGGATCCTATTCCGCTGTACGGAGGCATGAAAATCCCTTGTAATACAATTCCAATTGATAAGAAGAATTTTCCTAAAAGACAGCCCTCGATATTTGCCGTGATGGCAAATCCTCAAATTCTACGACTAAGTGGCAAGACTGCAAAAGACCCAATGGTAATTTTTTATATCTTCATGTGTAGTTGCTTCTTCAAAACTGGTAAAGTGAAATGTTGACGGAATAAATGTTAATTCTCAAAATGTTTGTGACATTTCCTGATTCTTTATAATAACATTATGTTTGATATACACTGTCTTCTGTCTAATATATACATTGATAGCACATTCGTAGGGCAGTCAAAAAAGTTCCCGGAATTGCGGTGTAGCGCTGTAATGGTAGGACATATGGCAACGCTTACCTAATCACCTTCAAAGTGGGACCCTTGCGCGCGCACGCACACACTTGCTCCATCGATCCTGCCGGAATCTTATGGAGTTCGGCCGTCGCATTCGACACCTCGCTGGTTGTGCAGCAATTTCTCGCCGAGAAAAGCATTCCCGCCATCACCCAACCACCATATTCTCTGGATCTCACTCCGAGTGACTTCTGGCTGTTCCCTACTCTGAAAATGGGCCTCCAGGGGACGCGTTCGCAACCATGGAGGACATCAAATCGAATGCGACGGCCGAACTCCGGAAGATTCCAAACAAAGCCTTACGCCAACAATGGCAGTGTATTGGTACTACTTGGATAATTCATATGCCTCATATAATGTGGGGATGTTCTTATAACTAGAAACACAGTCACATCATTAATTATTTTAACTTATAAAAAATATATTCAGAAATTTGAATTTCTGGTTATAATCTGTTCTGAAAAGATTACTGAAATTTAACCTTAAGAGTAATGCATTTTAAAATTCTATCTGTGGGCATTCTTTGCTTCAGGATCGTGATGCTCTTGTGGACCTGATGTTAGATTTTGTCGAAGCTATGAATCCAGAAGTTAAATTTAAACGTGAATTCACCGTGCTCAAAGACCGTGACCTAACCGGCGAACTGAAAGACATCTGGTTGGCCATCCAAGTAAAGCGAGAAAGAGAAAAAGAAAAGGCAGAAAATGGGAAGAAACTGGAAACTGGAGACAGAGAGGAATGTAAGGAAGGAAGGAATGAAGAGTCCTGGCGAGATTCAGACATGCAACAAGAAGTAAAAATCGCTGAACTAGACAGAGCAAAAGAAAAATGCACAGAAGCATTACCTGTGTGGTTTGCAATGGAACAAAATACAGAAGAAAGAATGAAAGATGGAACAGAGTTTGTAGAGCCAAAAAGCACAGTACTTCGAAGCAAAGCAGATCAGAGTAATGGAAACAAATGTGTCATTTCGTGTGACGGCAACGAGGAAGAGGATATTACTGTATCTTCTTTCGACGCAGATATCAGAAAACTAGGAGAAGCTGCTGTCAGGCAAAAGGACTCTGTGCATGCTGCCTGCGATGTTCCGGTGACTCCGTCCAGACATTCAGAGGGTTCCCCAGATCATCATAGGGAAGCTCAGAACGAGCGAGGAGGAGAATTTAGTTCTGATCTTCCTTGTGTAAATGGGGTTAGCACCGTCACAAAACACACGGTATTTAAAGAGGTATTTCCCTCGTCATCTGATTCTTCAGAAGATGAAGAGAAAGTAGATTTCAGACTGAACGCTACGTGTAAGGTTAAAGAGAATGAAACTGTTAACATTGCCGATTCAAAGGAAATTATTGGCTTGCTCCAGGATGTCAAAATGCCAAATCCAAGCCAAAACTTGGATGACACAGATATTGGAATGGATTTTAACGACGCTTCTAAAAAGAAGAATGTATCAGTGTCTGATTTAGAGCTAGATACTCATCAGATTCCGGTTTATGTGGAGAAAGTGTGTAGTTACGGAAACACAAATTTTGAAACTAGTAATTTAAATCCTTGTAAATTCTTATGCATGAAACCTTCTGCTATTAAAACATTAGCTGATAAATGTCTGTCGGTTAAACAAAATGTTTATGTACCAAATAAATGTAAAAACCCTCAACAGGCAGATTATGAATCTACCGCAAGATGTCAGGCCATTGTAAATAGGTTTCCAGATTCCGGTTGCTAGAGATACTACCGCGTAGTAATATGGAGATTGACCCTGGTGATTATAATATCGCACCAGAAATTATGAAGTCCGATGTTATAATTCATGATACTCGACGCAGTTTCCACTGTTGAAATATATTTAATAACCAGATCTCATTAATGTAACTAGGAATCTTTTATTTATGATGTAAATAAGTAATATTTTGTGTTTAGTTCCTTTTTTAATGGATGTACATCAAAACTGTTAGAGTGATTACAGCGGAAGTTGTGTTAATTATGATATACACATATCAGTTGTTGGTGTTTTACATAACTTTGTGATTTCACGTTTATTTCCGAGACGGAGCGATTGGGTGTAAGGAACGAGCATTCCATCACCAACCAAATGGAGATGGATACTTTTGGTAGTACTGAAAAATTTTTGTTTTTAAGGCTAGTGAAATTAAAAAGAGTCATTATATGTTTTAAAGAAACGAAGGATCTCATCCGGATAGCTGATATTAATTCTATAAATCCTGATGAATATGGTGACATCCGAGTCATAACATTAAAATGATGGTATTGCTCTGTGCATTGCTTAACTTACTACTACAGTGGAAATATTGTCATATTCCATTGAATATGTTTGTGAAAGTATTTTGTCTTAAGTTCCTAATATTAGTCATTTCTTACTTTTTTATTATTGTAAATGTGCCATTTTGTTTGTACATGTTGCCTGTGATTAAAGAATTTGATTGAACCACATATTTTGCTGTCCCTACTCTATCATTTTAGAGCATGGATAGTTCAGTCAGTATAGCGAATAGCTATGGGCTGGACGACCGGGGTTCGATACCCGACGGGGACAGAGGATTTTTCCTCTAGCCTCTGCGTCCAGACTCTCCAATATGAAATTTAATTACAATCAGTAGAGTTGAGTTATACGTTCAAAAATGGTGTCTACAAGCATACGCTACACAACTTGCATAATTAGTTCACGATACTGCCAACAGGTTTCTTAATGTCCGATACTGCAGTGCCATCTAAACGGCTCCAAATTAAACAGAATCGAAATGTAAAAGTTGGACATCTTATAGGAAATTAAATAAAAATGAAAGAAAGACAATTTTATGTTTCCTATTAAAAAATACTTCAAGACACACAACAACAACCTATTAAGAAAGTGAATGAAATCTTTCATAATCGCAATTGGGCAAGTCCTGATATCCTGTTTCCGTAGTGTAGCGGTTATCACGTGCGCCTCACACGCGCAAGGTCCCCGGTTCGATCCCGGGCGGAAACATTTTTTTACCTTTTACATAATTGTTTTGATTATAATATGAAAAGTACAGCGAGTTTTATGCATTGATTCTTATGTCTTTCATAACGTTTGATATCTTATCCGTGGAGATGAGTATAACCAAAACGATCATTGCCATGTCTTTTTTTAGAAACTTAGGACGTAGTAATGATAAGAATAGAAACGAAGATATATATTAAGCAAAAACAATAGAACGATAGTTCCGAGGGACATTGGAGATAATTTAAGTATACGTAAAATAGCAGCCTCTCAGCAAACAGCAGAGTGGCGCAGTGGAAGCGTGCTGGGCCCATAACCCAGAGGTCCGTGGATCGAAACCACGCTCTGCTAACTTTTTATTTTATAATTGAACATACGGAGGACTGTATTAAACCAGTCGAAAGACTGATGACAAACGAACAAGAAGAATTTAATAAAACATGTATTATTTTCTTTCATACTCAAAAATTTCTAGCGCATAGTGCATGTTTCCCAAATGCGGCTGTCTTGAATCTGTAAGTAATAATTATAAATAGGTTGTACTAAAAATTAAAATGAAGTTGACGCAGCCCTATGCATAGGAAGGCTATTACTGTTATTTGTTGTTAGAAATTACTTTGCTCTGTATTTAAACTTTTTAAATGTAAGTGTAACCCTTTTTTTGAGAAATTGTTACTGTTATCTACGAGTAAAATTATCACTATTATTGACATTATAGTGATAACAATTAAGATAATACCTGTAATACTATGAGTTATTAGTGCAACTGGGATAATGTCGAAATCACTTGCTAACATTTTTTTAATGTTTAAAAGCTATACGCATTTTTCGCACGAACTCTTTAGAACAGACGTATTTAGTGTGAAAAAACACTCACGTACGTAGAATTTGAGGTTTCCACAACGGGGAGTCTGAAGATGGACGTCTTCTGGGTTGTTGCGCCATGTAGTCTGGTAGATTTCCACCAATGTTTCAGACGTCATACTGCCTCAGGGCGCCCTGATGATGGAGGTAGCAAGGACCTCTGAAACGTTGGTGAACTTGTACCAGACTACACGGCGCAACAACCCACAAGACAGCAATCTTTGTATTCTGCGACGACAGAACCTAAATTCTCACCTTTCACTTCTGTTAGGTGTGGATTTTCGTTCTGTAATCATAAATATTTTTGGTGTTACTGAATATAATTTCCTGGTGTGAGTACAAATGTGTTTGATAATGAGCACCATGAATCAAAAGTGGCTGTGCGCTCGCTGAAATGTCTGTCAGAGCACATGGGAACCATATCATGATGAAACCAGGTGGTGACTTGTTCTTCGCCATGATACAGCAACTGAAAACCACCAGTGGACCACAAAATGAGACCAGGACAAGAGGAATTATTTGTGAGGATGTTTAGATTAGCAATTACTTTACAATACACATATAAAATCATGTGACGATTTAAAATCAAAGTCAAAGAATGAGAAATTGTTTTTCTTTCTATCTATCTTTCTTTCTTTCTTTCCTTCTCTTTTCTTTAATTTCTCTACAAACATCTAACGGTAAATGCGTAACTGTAGTCGGAATGAAGCGACATTTGGCGTCTTAAAAAAAATATATTTCAAAACTTGCCTGTTGATTTCCTTCATCAGTGTCGCTTTGTTTCAGCTGTTTCGATATGTATCTGAGTAAGATAGCACAAACTCATCTCTCCATTGCGCAGTTAAGTTGTAATCAGGCTTTTCTTCTGCACAATTGTAACACCTTATGCAGGAAATGATTAGCAATAAGAATTATTGTCTGAGTAGTGAACTAAGCTATCGCCTTTTGAATACAGCAAATATATTGTAACTTCTATATTATCAGATGTGTATTCTGCGACGACAGAACCTAAATTCTCACCTTTCACTTCTGTTAGGTGTGGATTTTCGTTCTGTAATCATAAATATTTTTGGTGTTACTGAATATAATTTCCTGGTGTGAGTACAAATGTGTTTGATAATGAGCACCATGAATCAAAAGTGGCTGTGCGCTCGCTGAAATGTCTGTCAGAGCACATGGGAACCATATCATGATGAAACCAGGTGGTGACTTGAACCGGGAAGATGTCCAAATATTTTCGGAGAAGACAAGCGTGGGCGAATCTACCGCGCGGACGCTAAATGAGCGGTTTATATTCACAACAGCGGCCTTTTTACTGTATCATAGTATTCATGTCTTGCCCCCTTATCTACTTTCGAAGTTAATTTATTTGTTCTTCGCCAAACCTAACCTGAAGTGAGCCCTCATTAGATTACCCGCATTCCATCAAAATATCTTACTAGGAACCTCACAATTTGCATTTCCCTCAAAATATAACTAACTAACCAACCAGATGGCTTACGGAACCCGAAGGTTCATCACCGAATTAACTAAAGCCCTCCACCGGACCCTGTCCTGGGCCAGCGAAATCCAGTCTCCTTCAACTCCTATCTCCCATAGATCCCGCCTGACATTATCCTCCCATCTACGTCTAGGTCTCCCCAGAGGCCTCTTCCCCTCAGGCTTCCCAACCAGTACCCGGTGCACACCTCTTGTCCCATCCATGCGCGCTACACGTCCCGCCCATCTCATTCTTCTCGACTTAATCACCCTGACAATACTGGGGGAGCAGTACAGATTTTTAAGCTCGTCATTGTGCAGTTTTCTCCACGCCCCATCGTCTTCCCTCTTAGGCCCAAATATCCTCCTCAACACCCGATTCTCAAACACCTGCAATCTGTGTTCCTCCCTCTGAGTGAGAGACCATGTTTCGCACCCATACAAAACAGCAGGCAAGATTATTGTTCTGTATACTGCTTTTGATTTTTTAGTGTCAGGTCGTTATCGATACATTTATTCACACTAAACAAAGAATCTTTTTTTTAAAAATTACCAAGGGACAAAAATATTACTAATTAACAAACAAAGTGTCAGAGACTAATTAGATTAGTGTTCTCAAAATGTGATGACAGGCGTTAAATAAGATATTAATGGACGTTATTTGATGTACTGATCCTCATCTGTAGATACAATATGCGAAAATAATAATAAAAACGGACCCAAAATATCGATGCGACCTACTAGATATTACTAAAATTTTCAACTAACATTAATTATGAGAAAGTAATTATCGAAAGTATAACAACATCGCTGAGGTTAGAAATTAATGTTTTTGCAGGCCGTATTTTGTACACTCCTGATAAACTGATTTGGTCATACACGGGACTTCAAATTGGGATTTTTAATACCTCTAAGAACCCCCGGTTAAATTTTTCGTTTCAAATGGGGAGATCATTTACAGAATTACAAATGTTCCGGGCTTATTAACAGTGTATGAACTCGCTGTAAAAATCAGTTCACAGAATTAATCCTGCTAGCTCGGTCACGTGATTGGTTACCTTGGTCGGCCAAAGTTTGAGCAGTTTCGTCGTTCTCGGCTGCTGACAATTTTGAGATTCCGGTTTCACGCGCAAGGCGACTCAGTGATTTCTGTGGTGTGCGTTGTAACCTTGGACCTGTTTCGTCTCGTTGTCCTTCGGTAAGCACGCGTCGCTTTTGGTAGATTTTTTGTCCAGAAATAAACCAGTAGATCGAAATTTATTACTAAATTTATGGATACCTGCTGTGCTTGGAACAGTTAACCCGGGAAATTTACGAACGAAATTTTTCACAATTCTTTTCTAGCGGTAGCACGTTTCACAAACTGTTCTTATAGGAAAAACCCCATTCGACGGTATATCAAACCATATTCACACACACAATAATAACCAGCGTTTAACAGATGAAATATTGTGTGAATTATTTTAGCGTCAATTCCTGATGATGCCTGGCGATGTGTCATGCCCGGAGCCGGGAAGTGACAACTGCGTTTAACTTTGTCAGTGGACGAACTGTATGACAATGAGTGGATTTATGGGAATAAGCGAGCGACGCCGTGAAAGAGAGGAAAGTTAGTGGCTGATTCGGTGATAACAAAGAATTCACTAGACACTGTACAAGAATAAGAAAGTAAAAGTGAGTAAACCTTCTGGTACATGTAACTGTTGCGTGGTACGAACAGAGTCGTAGTATAAAAAGTGATTTCAATAACAATGAAGGAAATATAACTACACTTTCTCTCCAGTTATCGTAACGCCACTGTCCGCTTACGAAACGTCGCCCTTTCACATTTCTGTGCTGAGAAACTAGTGAAAACTGTTTACACTTTAATAAGGAACTAACACCAAAACAGGTGTTTCAAAACCAACTTCACTCACATTCAAAAAAAAAAAAGGACCCTGGTTACAATACTAATGTTCAAATATGACAGTTTCGCAGATGGTTAATGACGTCACGCTGTCTGCAGAAAATAATTATTTAAAACACTTGAAAGCGGAGTAAAATCTTGGAGATAAAATGCTTTACGTGTTTTAAACTGCACGGTATCTGCTTTATTTTTTAATAGTTTATTTAGAGAAACTTTCTCAAGTGCATAAGTTACAAAGTTCTGAGTGATTCTATCATAGCAAATTATGAAATGAGGCACATTTGGATAGTTTACGTATCATATATTTGAATGTTGTATCTCAACATATGTATACAGGAACTTAGAAAACCTAGACAAATCGTCAGTCAGTGCAGAACAACTCCTGACAGAGCATACAAATCGAGTAGAAAGCGGAAATTGTAACACTTCTACTAGCTAGGTAAGATTTCAGGTTCTCACGGCGAGTATTAAGATGGCTGTCTTCTGGGATGTTGCATGACGTTATAGTCTGGTGGAAACTGAATGACGTTTCAGATATGCTCACTGCCTCCATCATCGTGGCGATGATGAAGGCAGTACGCACCTCTGAAAAGTCGGTCAATTTTCACCATACTTGGCACAATATCCCATAAGACAGTCATCTTCATATTCCTATTGTCTTAACTACATTAACTTTGGACGAAAATCTGCCAGCCTGCTGTTCATTTTCTGTGTTATCAGTCGCCTTTATCACATTGTTCAGGCTACACGCTTAACTGCACAGTCGGAGAAGTTGCCGCCCTCTCGAGGCGGCGATTAGGCTCACTACACTGACACCCGCATTAAAAACGACGTTTCTGACACTGCGAATAACAAACAAATATATTTCTGTGCAATATAAGCGTTAAAGGATGACTATATAAGAATATATCGACGTGTGATACATTTATTACATGCTGTTCCATAACTGAAGTGGATGGAGCACATCTGACGTAAACATAGATGAAGATTTTGAACCTTTCTTAGCGGAAATTATTATGATAATTATTAATCAACGTTAAATTTGACTAAATTCGTTAGCTACTAATAATTCTTTGTAACTTTCCTGGAAAAAATACTCCGGTGAATAAGATAAAAGGAATAACACGTGAAAACAAGGCTTCGCGTTACAATAAAAATGTATTCCTTGAGGATCGCTCAGTAGGAGAAATGAATATGTTTAATTAAATGCATTTGAAGTCCCTTCAGCCCTGAAAAGAAGGGGAGATATTTTCCTTCGAAATGTTGGTATCTCGTTACAACCCAGAAGACTAAGACGATGTCTTCGCCGTGTTAAAATTCCCGAAATCCATTGGAGGAGGGCGTTAGAGAATGACGTGCTGAGGAACAGGGGGCGAGAAAATCGCGTAATGAAGAGCCTCATAATTTGTAATCTTCACAAAATATTATTAGGGTGTTTAAATCAAGGGAAATGAGGAGAGGCAAACGCTGGTCTACATAAAACACACAAGTTAATAGACCGCTTCGGAGACTTTAACGTTGATGAGAGAAATAGGATATAGGGTTGTAGACTGGATTCAGCTGGCTCATGATAAATTTCAGTGGCAGGATGCTGTACGATAATGTACCTTCGTGATACCTGAACGGCTGAAAATTTATTGTAGGGTGTTTAAATCAAGGGAAATGAGGAGAGGCAAACGCTGGTCTACATAAAACACACAAGTTAATAGACCGCTTCGGAGACTTTAACGTTGATGAGAGAAATAGGATATAGGGTTGTAGACTGGATTCAGCTGGCTCATGATAAATTTCAGTGGCAGGATGCTGTACGATAATGTACCTTCGTGATACCTGAACGGCTGAAAATTTATTGGCAAGCTATCAGATTTTCGACGTTGGTGCACGTGTTCCTATGATAATAAATTACGTACATTTTTTAAAGACAAGAGGAATTCTGCTGTAAGGTTACTCAAACCCGGCCCTGCTATACACACTACCTGACAGCCGAAACAGGCGAACAGGGGGATGTGGGTCAGTGACGTCACTGGGCGCCTTTCTAAACAGCGGGCGAGGCGACGAGAGAGAAGCAGCAGCATCAAAGTTGAATCACCAGTGACATAGTCACTTTCGATACTCCGCAGTGGCTACAGGTCATCAGTGCGTCTGTGTAGTCGTGTGTCTGGCGTTCAAAAATGCTGCACGAACTCAGGTTCATCTATGCTCGGATTGTGTCGCGCCATGTTTAATAACACCCAATCAACTGTGGAAGTTGTAAAATATGACGACGATAATATATGGTAAGTAAGGAACTGTGTGGAATTTATTCATGGAATTTTAACTACCCTGTTTCAACTACTGAGGTTATACAGCGTCGTATTATGGGAATATTATCATGGAATGTGGATAGGTAATCTAAGTATCTGATGGGAAGTGGTAGTGGTATATATAAAGAACATTACTGTCTCATTCGTCTGGAAAAACAAAGGAAATCCATAAAATTCCTCTATTAGCATATCTGGTAAGCTGACATGGTAGCCTATTTGAGTTTACTGTATCAGCTGAAGACGTTGTTAGAGTCAGTGAGGTTTGACGACAATTATCAATTTTAATGAATACGGAAGATAATTATCTATATGAAGGTGAACTATCTCCATAAAACATAATCCGTCTTGACAGTCGCTCAGATACTCAATAGATTTCTCAGCCAGCTGAATCCGGTGAACACCCTCTCACTCTGTTTCTTTGCCATTCATTCGAAAATTATCCTCTTCAACCAAAATTCTGTACTCACTTCTCATCTAGCCCATGCGTACTTCGTGCTTCGCCTATCTCATCATAGATCTGAGCATCCTAATAATATTTGCTCGAGAGCGCAAATTACAGAGCTCCTGTTAAATGACGTAAATATTTCTGTAGTCACATTTGAGGTGAGTGACGAAAACCATGAATAATCAAGATAAGTTCTCTAGTAGAGATTTGATAATCTGGACCTTCCGAATATGCGTCATACTACTTCTGAGATGAACTTGCTCGCTTTGATCTGTGTTAAGATACACGACCCTATAATAATCTGGAGAAACAGCTTAGACATTTAAGACGGGTGTCTTCTAGTATGCTCAACCGTGTATAGTCTGGTAAATACTGACCGACCTTTCAGAGGGACCTACTTATTCCATAATCAAATTGATGACATTCATTACCCTGATGATGTAGGCAGTAAGCTCCTCCGAAACATCGGTCAACATCCAACAAACAGCCATCTTCGTATACGCCGGTAAGTAACGAGGTTTTACTTACGTCTTTGGATGGTCCAAGCCAGATGAGCGTCTCTGTGGACAGTTTACTTCAAGGCAAACGAGCCACGAGTTTCCTTTCTCTATGCTAATTATGTCAGTGAGAGAGAGAGTTCCATCATAGCTTTTAATGTTACCACAGAATTGCCTACAAGTAAGCGTCGGACGGTTGTAAATTTTATGACTCTTAATCAAATAATACTGACGTCATACATACTGAAAACCGAGCCATGAGATACAAAACAACCCCATTTTCCTACGCACAAAGTTATAAAACGCATTTTTACCACTGGACTCTGATCGAGTGAGCACAAGGTTTCTGTTCCGAGATGGGATCCCTCTTCTCACCACGTCTCTTGAGGCCAAGTCAACACGTACCGAGAAAAACTCGCCCAAGTGTGAAGCTTACATCTTGTTTAGAATGCGTGGAGATTTACGACCATGCCCCCTATACGCCATTACGTACTGCTGTCTAGACGCAGGAACAGAGAGACAGAGATTTCAAGTTGTCGACGTAGCGACTACGAAGATGACTCTTCTGGGAGGTCTTGCAGGAGTTTGCCGACGTTTAAAGGGAACTTGCTGCGTTCATCATCAGAGTAATATTCCTTCTTTTAATGAACCTATCTTCCTCAGCCTTGTTCGGCGACGCTGGCATGAGTCGATACATTTTCGCTTCAGCTCGTTAAACTCAGTAGAGTAGCTGAATTCTTTGGTGGACGTACCGTGACGATTTCTACTCTCAGGACGGCGATGTTGTGATGTCAGAGAGTGAGTTAAGACGCAATGCAATTGGTAAAAATCTTAGGGTTCCGCCATGTTCATGGAAGCGAAACTGCGGTTTCCCTCTCGGGATCAGAATACACGAGTTTCATAACGTTCTTGTATCACGGTGCGTCGTATAACAGGGAGATATTGTGCAAGAGACATTTTAGTTCCTGAAAGACGGAAGTAGATAAAATAGATTAAAAAATAATATAGAAAGCTACAGACAGCGGAGAGAATGACAGATGAAATGATAAGATACAAACACATCGAGACACAAGCAAGAAAATCAAATTTGAACACGGCTGAGTTCTGAGATAATTCTCCGTGTAATCCGGTAGATATTGACCGACGTTTCAGATGTCTTTACTGCCTCCATCATCAGGACGACCTAAAGACAACCACATTCATACTCGTCGCTGTGAAAACCAGAAATCATACTCAGGCTAAAGAGTCAGACGCTCGTTCAGTCAAGTCGAGCATAAATAAGTTTGTTTCACTTTTGCGCTGTCCAGAAATCTCGCTGCATAACGCTTAAATGACTGTACTAATGGCAATGTACTTTACAGTGAAGATTTCTTCTGTCTTCTGGGTTGTTGCGCTGTGTACTGCCTCCGTCATCGCCCTGATGATGGAGGCAGTATGACCTCCGAAACGTTGGTAAACATCGACCAGATTCCACAGCGCAACAATCCACCGCTGTGAAAACCTCAAATCTTACTTTACAGTGTTCCTGATGGATAGTAACCTCGACACACAACTATAGGATGGCTAAGGAAGGACCAGTCGAGACAGGGGAGGTGCAACCAAGAAGTGGTAAGTATCTCGGCAACAATTTTTGCATATCTGTACAGATTATTTTTTGTACGAGTTCTGATTCTCAGTGGGGCTTTCGGGTGAAGTTCCTCTTTCGTGGATAAAGTTAACAAAAATCGTCCCGTGCCCGTCCAGTCTCGAAATCACATTTATATTTTCAACTCTGCACTGATATTCGACTGAAATTATCTCGAGAACAAAACACACTAACCTTCTTTTGGTTATGTGGTAATGCTATCCAAATTACAAATCATTCAGTTTAGCCCTACGACTTTCAGCACACAAATATTTTCTTTACGTACAAAATATAAAGATAACAATATTAATTAAATAGAAGTGGTAGTAAAACTCCATTCTATCGTTTCACAAATAAACTACAGCTAAAATATTTACCCATAGCAAAAGTCTTGTTATATTCTTTATTATCTACTTGCAATAAAACAGTTGCTATAGCATTAATATGTTGTTCCTTAAGATCTTTGCCGGTAGTGGATTTTGGTTAGAACAGTGGTATTCAACCTGGGGTACGCGAAGACATCTTAGGGGGTACGTGA